TTTTTATGAATTATGCCTCAAGGAGCTTGTCGACCTCTGCGGCAGTGAGAGTATTGCGCTTCGGATGGAAAATGCGCTGCTTCTGGCGGTAAGGTCGGAAATGGGGTTCAATGCTGAGGCGATGGGTTATGAATGAGGGGTCAATACCCGTCATGTCTAAGTGGGTCCTGGCAAATACATCGTTGTGTTCAATCAGGAGGGCAGTAAGGTCGACCTTTGCTTGGGGGGACAGTTGGCTGCCGATTTTGGCGGTTTTCGCCGGGTTGGTGGGGTTGATGGGAACCTCAACGAGCTCCTCCACAGGCTCCCCTCTGACCAACTCGTCCTTCTCCCGGACGTCAAGTCCTTCAATGATCATGGCTTCCTTCAGCTTGACTTCTTTTAGTGAGGTGACATAGCATTCCCTGGCCACGGTCTGTTCTTCCCTTACAGTCCTGACCCCCAGATCAGTGGGAAACTTAACGGTAAGGTGATAAGTTGATGTGATAGCTTGGAAGGCATTTAAGGCAGTGCGGCCAAGGATGATGTTGTAGGCGGATGGGCAGTTGACAACAAGGAAGGTGAGCAACTTTGTAGTCTGCTGTGGATACTCGCCGATTATGATGGGAAGATCGATGGAGCCGATGGAGGTGACCCGGTCGCCAGTGAAACCGACTAAAGGGGTTGGTAGAGGAGACAGATTTTCTTTCCCAATTTTGAGCTGGCGAAAGCAGTTGAGAAAGATGATGTCTGAAGAACTGCCGTTGTTGATGAGAACTCGTCTGACCTTGTAGTTGGAAAGGAGGGAAGAAATGACGAGAGGGTCATCATAAGGGTAGCGGATGCCTGTACAGTCGGCGTCCGTGAAGGTGATAGGCTCGGTCCACTGCTTGGGCTGTTTGGAGGGTTGATCGACCGTGGCAACTGCTTTGTCTGAGCCCTGCCTTATCTTCCTGAGTTCTGCCCTCTGAGCCGAGCGGGATGGTCCCCCACAAGCAAGGCCGCCTGAAATGACTCTGATTTCTCCAACAGGTGGGAGGGTTGCCTGGCGGCCAAGGTTGCTGTGGAGGGCGATCATGGCCTTGGTTAGGTTGGGCTGGCTGCCGGGGGAGTGCGTCGGCGGTTGTTTCTGAGGGGCTCAGTTCTTTGCCTCTGCTGAGGGCGGGTGTCCGTGAACCGGCTAAGACGTCCCTGGCGTATGAGGGTCTCGACCTGATCTTTGAGGTTAACGCACTCATCGGTGTTATGGCCATGGTCCTGGTGAAAGTGGCAATATTTGGACTAGTCTTTCCGATTGGAAGGGGTTCGTGAAGGTTTGGGCCATTTAAGGGGGTAGTCCCGCTGGATCTGATTGAGGACCTGTTCCATGGGGAAATTAAGGGGTATGTACTGCTTGAATCGACCGGGCGGTCGGGCTGGTGCCGACCGGTCAGCTCGGGGGGGTTGGTCGGTATAGGGTGGTGTTTGGCTATTACACTGGGTGTTTCTGGGTTTTGAGTCTTTTCTCTTTTCTCTGGGGGTTGGGTTTTTGGTTATTGGATCTTGTCGGGCGGCTAGGGAATCCTCAGTATTCATGTATTTTTGGGCTTTGGAGAGTAGGGTTGCCATGGAGGTCGGGGGGTTTTTAGAGAGGGAGAACAGGAAGTCGGACGACCGCAGACCGGCCATGAAAGCAGTGAGGATGACCTTGTCATCATTTTCCGTTACTTCTAGGGCCTCGGTGTTGAAGCGGGTAACGAAACTGCGTAGCGACTCCCCCTCGGTCTGTCAAATGTTAAGAAGTTGGGTTGCCGGGCATCGCTGGTGCTGGGCTCCAATAAAATGGCTGAGGAAGGAGTCACTGAGATGCTGGAAAGTGGAGATGGAGTCTGCTGGTAACTGGCTAAACCACAGCCGACCGGACCCCTTTAGTGTCACGGGAAAAGCTCGACACATGATCTCGTCAGGGAATGCATGGAGGATCATGAGGGTTCTGTAGGTCTCCAGATGGTCGACTGGGTCCGTTGTACCGTCAAAGGAGTCGATGGTGGGCATCTTGAACTTGGGGGGTAGAGGTTTGTCCCAGATGGAGGTGACAAATTGTGAGTTTGCTGTGGCAGAGGGTTTATGCTGGATGTTTTGCATGACCCCTTGGTGTTGGAGCTTCATGGCTCGGAGTTCCGCGTCCTAGAGAGGGATGTGGTCACCTCCGGAGGGCAATGGGGGCTGGACGCTGCTGGCCTCTCCTTCAAGGATTGGCGCCGGGATCGATGGTTGTGGGCCCCGGGGTGGCAGGTTTATACCTGGGGAAAGGGGTTGCAAGCCTTCTCTGTTGGGTGGATTAGACTGCGGGATAGTATGGCTCGGGGCTTGTTCGTGGTTGGGAGGAATATCGGGAGGTGGTGGGGGGGGCATAGGAAGGTTTCTTTGGAGTAGGGCATTAATCAGGGCTTGGTTTTGCTCGGCTATGCGGTTAATGTTGTTGGTAAGCTCGATGAAATATTGTGGTGGGTTGTTTGGATTGGGGGGGTCGGCTTGGTGGTCGGCAGCATTTTGGTGAGAAGCCATGGATCTAGTCGTGACCATACTCTTCGATGGGTAGCGAAAAAGGGTTATTGGAACAGGGTCTCCGGCGACAGTGAACAGAACTGGCGCGAGGAACAAAGCGTTCCCACAGACGGCGCCAACTGATGATACAGTTATGATACAACGGGTTCCAGAGGGAATGAGTCGGACTGGTCCACGCTTCTCCAACTGATATCTGAATGGCCAAGCCCACCTGAGAACCTGCACAGGAGTTCAACGGGGAACGGGGAGTCCCCCAGCGAACCCTCCGACGAGCAAGTTAGAGAGAGAGAGAAGTGGAATGTAGAGATATGAATTGGAGATAGGAAACTTAACCTTCTTCTTGTCTTCAACCTCTACTTATATCCTTTGGTAATCATTTCGTTGTCCATTTCGACCTGTCACCTTGGCCAAAAGTCTATGCTGTAGCTTACCTTGTTCAGGGTGAGGGCGTGCTGTTCCTACGGAGAGGTATTGTCGTAATAAATGCTGTGAGGAGTTGCATTAATGGCGATGTGCAGTGGCAATAACTTTGAAGATCTTTGTCTGCTAATGTGGCTTGCCCTTTGCCTGTCGCGTGCCTGGGTATTATTGGTCCTTTGTGCCATGTTGGTTTCCAGCTGTTTTGGACCTCATCAATTGGGTTGTGTATTGGGCTCTAAGTGATGGGCTTGGGTTGTTCGTAGTGGGGTATGGCCTTTATGGGCCTAACCACGTCAGTGGGCTATGGCCTTTATGGGTCTAACCACGTCATATTATATCTAATTTTGTGGAGACTCAATTCAGTTTGGAAACAACTAAGGTTTTGATAAAAAAACCCTAGATTTACAATGTATTATTGGTATTGTTTTTCTCAAGAAAAAAGGAGCAGCCGTTTTTGCTTGGTGGAGGAGCAGCCGTGATGATCAATTCAGTGAGTTGAATGTGCTTGGTTTGTGGATGTTATTGCTCCTGATTTGAAGTTGATTTGGGTTAATTATTTTGGGTCTTCTACAACTCTGGTTTGAAGATTTTTGTTCATCTATTTGGTGAGATTTTTCCTCTTATTTATTTGTGATTATTTAGAATTCACCTAAGGGTGGTTTTGTGAGACTATTTGTGTCTCGTTTGTAATCGTTTGGAAACTTTTTGATTGATAGTGGAATCGGATTTCGATCCTGTGGACGTACCTCACATTGAGGGAACCACGTAAAATTCTTGTGTTGCTTTTGATTTAATTTTTTCACATTAGTTTTTATTCCCATTGATTGATTTACTTGTGAGGAATCACATATTTTTTCTAGCACGCAGTGCTTGTTAATTAGCGTTGGACTTGTTGGTATACATTGTTAGACTTATTTAAAATTGTCGATATTATAATTTGACATAATTATTTTAATATTTGTATAAAAAAATATAATATTCTTTAATCAATTGATAAATAATTTTGGCAGATTAGTAGGACAACACATATAGTTTTGTTAATTTTGACAGATGAGTAAACAGTTGTTATGCATCTAGAAAGCTTGTGCAAATTTGTGGAGAGATTTTGGAGTCTTTTGGGAAGTCAAAAAAAAGTTAACTTTTAGTTTTTTATCTATTTTGAGTCATATTATCTCTCATATTTTTTACTCACAAAAAAATAAAATAGATTAAAAAAATTAAAAAATTAACTTTTTATCAATTTTTCAAGCACCACTTTGTTAGTTGCGAGAGACAATGCTTGAGACAATGAGCTGCATGTTTCAGCTAAGCTTAAAGGTATAGAGAGAAACAATTTTTTACTTGCTAGAGACAATGCATGAGACAATGAGCTGCATGTTTCAGCTAAGCTTAAAGGTGTGGAGAGAAACAATTTTTTAGTTGCTAGAGACAATGCATGAGACAATGAGCTGCATGTTTCAGCTAAGTTTAAAGGTATAGAGAGAAACAATTTTTTGTTTATTTATAAAAGTACAGTTATACCCTTCTTGTCGGAATATGTGACATTGAATTTTTTTTTGAAAATAAATAGAGAATTAATGTAATAATAAGGATTTTTTGGTCTTTTTAAGGAAGATGCTGATTTTCTTACTAAAAAAAGATATGCTGATTTTCTTACTAAAAAAAAAATGCTGATTGACCTTTTATGGGCGCCAGATCATTATTCAAAGATTGGTCCAGGATTTGATGTTGTCACCATGTTATAATATGCTAAAAATTTGAGGACCTTTTTATTATACTGGTGGGCTGCCTTTTAAATATACCAGACATGTGCGTATGCATAAAATTATTTTCTTTCAGCAAAATAAAATTATAAATATATTGATGAGGAACGAAAATATATACAGAGAAAAAGTTTTTTTATGATTTGTTTAGATAATAATTATAATGATCGAAAGAAAAATTAAAACGAATTATTGGAGAAGGTATTCAAAAAATGGTTCCATAAAAATAGAGAAACCACATTTTTTGCAATAATTCAGAAAAAAATATAAAGTATTATTAGAAAGGAGAAATTACTCATAAGTCCCATATAGAAAAATGTTACTCCTCAAGTAAGGCCGTAGCAAGTCGTTCATCAAACTCTGGAAGGTGGAGGGGGCATTTGTAAGGCCGAAGGGCATAACAACAAATTCGTAATGTCCGTCATGTGTGCGGAAAGCAGTTTTGTGTATATCAGCCCCTTGAACCCGTATTTGGTGATATCCGGCGCGGAGGTCAAGTTTCGAAAAATACCTGGACCCATGTAATTCGTCGAGGAGTTCGTCTATGACAGGGATCGGGTACTTATCTTTGATTGTAATATTGTTGAGAGCTCGGTAATCAACACAAAACCGCCAACCACCATCCGCTTTTTTGACAAGCAATACCGGTGAAGAAAATGGGCTGGTACTGGGGCGGATCAAACCAGAGTCAAGAAATTCCTTCACCATCCTTTCAATTTTTGTTTTTTGATAATAAGGATATCGGTAGGGTCTGACACTCATAGGTTCTTGATTTGGTTGTACTGGGATGTGGTGATCATGGGTTCGTATCGGTGGCAAGGTATTGGGAATGGCAAAGACATGCTCAAATTCAGTGAGGATTTGGGCGAGGTCTGCGGGGTGGTCATTGACTGAAGTTGATTCGTGGCTTGGAATGATTTGAAAGAACAAAGCTGTTCCATTGAGGTGGAGAAGTTCCTTATCACTCAAGGCAGTGAGTGTAGGTTGCTTAAGGCCTTGAAACATACAAGATTTACCTCCTTGCTTGAAGGACATGGTGAGATGGTTGTAATCAATTTCAATCGATCCAAGGGTGGCCAACCACTGAACTCCCAAAACCACTTGACAGGCCGCTACTGGTAAAACATAAAAATCTGCTTGAATTGGAAAGTTTTGGACGAGGAGTGTGAGCCCAAGGCAACGTCCGTTGCAGTCAATTTTGTCCCGATTGGCCACCATTACTTGCAACTTCTGATCGCGTGCTACGGCCAACCCAAATTTCGTGATCGATGAAGTTGTGGGTGCTTCCCCCATCAATGAAGATAGTCACTGCTTTATTTTGTAATTTACCCACCACTCGAAATGTTTGAGGATGTGTCGTCCCTGCTATTGCATGGAATGAGATTTCTGGAAGGAGCTCGGTCATATCGGGTTCATCAGGAGTGTCCATGGCAATGGAGGGTTCGAGTATTGGTGTTTCTTCGATCATAAACAACTGGGGTTTTTGGCAACGGTGACCTGGAGTGAACTTTTCGTCACAGTAATAGCACAACCCTTTCTCACGACGTTCTCGTACCTCTTGACTTGTAATTCGCCGAAATGGAATTGGAGTGTTTGTAACAACCCTCATACTGTTTACCGATTAATGACTGATTGATTACCGATAAACATTGATTACCGTTAAACCGAACTGATTATGACTGATAATTGGACTGGTTAAAGTACTGAACTGACTGACTGAAAACTGGAACTGAATTGACTGAGTGTGTATATTAATTTGTATTCTATCTGTTTGATTGATTATTTGATCTGTTTGTGTTTTATGTTTAAACCGCTAATTGAAGGCCTTATCGGCGGCCGAACCGGGAATTGATTGATGTTTTATGACCCTCATAATTAATGTGATTTTATGATATATTTATCTGAAAATTGATTAGGTATGATTAATTTAGATTAAATATTGACCTATTGCTTAAGTTGGCCTTAATTACCAAACTAACCCTAGTGGACCACTCAATACAATATATTTGACCCTCAATATACACTTAGGCAACATTTTGTTCAGTCATTTTCTTGCTCTAGCCGACCAAGAGAGGGAGAGAGTGAGAGAACTTGAATTCCATCTTGAATTTTGCTTGTTAATTGAAGAACTTGAAGGTTGATTGCATATTTGAGCTCCTAGTCTTCTAATTCAAGGAACCTAGGTATGAATTTCATCCTTTGATGTTGTCTTTAAGTTGATTCTTGCATGGTTCATGTCAATTGTAGAGCTAAGCCATGTTTTAGTTCATACATGTTGATATAGAGCATAATTCATGCATGCATGTTTGTAATGTAGAAGTTTGAGTTGTTTTCATGGCAAATTGTTGCATGCATGTCCATATTTTGAGTGTGGGCCGTGATTTCATCATGTTTTGGAAACAATTAGCTCTTTACAGCATCAAATTGGAGCTTCAAAATGATTTGAATTCATGCATGTTTGCATGTTCATCGTGTTCATGGAATTGGTTTGAAATTGGTTTGAAATTAAACACCCTTGGGCTTTGATTTCTCAAATTGAGCTTTGAATCATGTTATTCCATGTGTTTATAAGAGTTTTCCAGAAAATAGGCCCAAGAGGATCGGTTTTGACGCTTTTGAACTTGAGTTTGAGCTTGGAGGTGCAATCTGGGATTTCCAGATTCTGCACTCCCGCTCGAGCGGAGATAGAGACGCTCGAGCGTGGAATCCGAGCATCCAGTATCTCTGCACTGTTTTACAGTCCGCTTGAGCGGAGGATTGGGCGCTCGAGCGGAATCACGTGTCTCAAGCTCGAGCGGGCGTTGAGCGTCCGTCGAGCGGAGATTTCACCCATCCAGCACTTTTGACTGTTTTTGCAGAACGCTCGAGCGGGTAATTCTACGCTCGAGCGGGTACCTTTGTCTGCATGTCCGCTCGAGCGGAGTAACTAACGCTCGAGCAGGACTCTGTTTTCTGAAGAATCTGAAACTGCTTTTAAAAGTGCATCTTTGCATCCTCATCTCATTCTAGGCGTTCTTAGACCTAGTTTGAAGACATCTTATTGAGGGCATAGATGTAGAACACACCAAGGCAAATTAGGGATTAAGTTATGATTTTTCCCAACTGTGTAGCTTAGTGTGTGTTCAACCTGTGAACTGTGTAGGGTTGGCGACTGGGGAGACACGCTCTAGCATACCGTAGCCCAAACTCTGTGAGTAACAATTGTGTAAAGATATGTTCAACTGAGAATGTTTTCTGACTGTTTACGAAACTGTTTTCTGAAATGATTATTGTTAATTGACTGAATGTATGTCCTATATTCTGAAATGTATTGTGGCATCTTCAGCAACTGTTGTATACTGTTACTGCTACTGTTACAGAGATCTCTGTTGGTTCCCTCGTGGAACCACTACTGTTTACTGATTGATGGCCATCATTACTGTTCGGTCTTTAAGACCTACTGTTTACTGCTATGCTGATGGATGTACCACATATGACTGAATAACTGTTCTAACTGAAAGACTGAAGTATTGTTTAATGAACTGCTTTCATTACTGTAAGGACATTTCATTCTTAACCTCTTTACGCATTATGTTATTCACTGGGTTTTAGCTCACTGTTTATATATATATGTAGGTGCTCAGCCACCAGATCGGAGCTAGGAGCGTGGGTTAGACTCCAGTTTTGTCAAGCCAGCCTTTGTGCCTCACTGCGAGGTTCCGAGTTGCCATGCTATGGCTTTGGGGTGTTTTGTTTTCTCCCGTCTGTCTCCATACTGTTTGGATTACTGTATAGACTGTCAGCTACTAACTGTACTGTTATCAAGGGATTAGGTCCCTGTACTGTGTGACTGTAAATTTTGTATAGACTGTACTGTTTGTATGTATGAATGCATGAAAAATCTTTTTTTTGGCATTCAGACTGTCACAGCTCAATGGACATTATTTATTCACTGTATTGGCTTCCGCCAGGCCCTGAACTCTGTTTTACTGTACTACTGTTAAGCAGGCCTTCGGTAATCTCGGATTACTGGCCGGTTATGGTGCTAAACCCATAGGGCCGGGTTTGGGTCGTGACAGTGTTGGCCGAGGTTTGTCCCACCTTTGGTGCGGGTGCGGGTCCTAGAACTCCAGTGGTGTTGTTTAGAGTAGACCGTGGTGTGAAGGCTGCTATTTGGGGACGAAAGGGACTGCACCATTTTTTTTGTAGAGAGTTGCGCTCTTCAATTAGCCGTGCTGCTCCAATGGTATCAGCCAAGGTGCATGGTTGCTTGAGTTTGACATCCAGGCGTATGTCGTCACAGAGTCCCGCAATGAAACACCCAATCAAGTAATTTTCGGGCAACCCATCAACCCGATGTGAGAGCATCTCGAAAGTTTCTTGATAGGTAGCCACTGTCGAAGTTTGTTTGAGGCAGGTCAAAGCTTCGGAGGGATCCTCATAGTCGGTGGGACCGAAACGGAGCAACAAGGCCTTGGTTAGTTCGTTCCAAGTTAAAGGCCCCCTGAACTTGGTCAACCATCGAAGCCATTGTAGAGCTATGCCCTCCAGGTGAAAGGACGCAAGCTGAACTTGTTGGTCAGGAGCAACATTTTTGAACTCAAAGTATTGTTCGGCCTTGAAAATCCATCCCGTCGGATCATCTCCATTAAATTTAGGGAATGAGAGTTTCAGGTGTGTATAGTTTCGGTCATGTGTGTTGGTGGTACCATGGGATGGTGATTGATTGTTGGTGGCGGGAAGAGGTCGGTTATGGGAGGTTTCGGCTTGAGCAAAAGGATTATCTAAGGGAACGGTGTTTTGCGAGACTCGCATGGTCTGAAGTTCTGTCAAAACAGTTTGCAAGGTACCATGGATTTGGTCGAAGCTGGACTCGTGACGAGCAAGGACTTCGCTGACTTCATTGCGAAACTCAGCGTTGCTTTTAGCCCGTGTGTCCATGTAACCTGCTCTGATACCAAATAATAAGTAATTTGTATAGGAAAATAGGGGGACAGTCAGGAAGAAGAAAAACAGAGGTTTAGAAAAAGAAGAGAGAGAGAGAGTGGGGCTGTAATTCTTTTTTCTTTATTTCCAGAATTCCTTGGCTATTTATAAGCCAATTGAGAACACATCAACTACAAGAAACAACAACTAAAATTAATAATGCAAAAGGTTGTGGCACGAATTATGGAAGCAGTAAGCACCCATTACACCCATTATTGTACACAACCTGCAACTAACTCCTAAACTAATTCCTATTCTGGAGGCAGTAACTCCAGCAGTTCCTATTCTCAAGCTAAGCAACGCAAAGAACATATCATATCATTCCTCATCCATACTTAAAACTAGCACCAATTAGCAACCGTGATTGAGGAAATTCTTGGCAGGTTTTATGATTAGTTGAAAAACAAAAACTCTGGCAGACTGTCTGCGTATGATTTCCCCTTAACTTTTTAAAATTTTAATTACTAGTGAAAAATGTTATACACGGTGAAAAATATTTGAAGTCATTGAAACACATCATTAAAAAAAAAATCGTGTTTTACACTAATAATAAATTGATAAACTATTAACAAATTACAATATGAAATTACATTAACTATTAACAAATTAAAATATTTGAATTATACCCAGGTGTAATAAATCAATTATATGCAATCAGAATTGTAAAATCTTTTAAAAGAAAAGAGAGAGAGTCATATTAAATTATAACTTTTCTTTACATTTAACTCAACTATCTTTGCAAACTTTTCTCAAACTCTACTTAGAATAAAGCACATCAATAGTTAAAAATGACATCATAAATTAAAACCAAAGAAATATTAGATAACATGAATACTTTGCACATAGAAGTAATAAAATGTAAAAAATTAATATAAATTAAAATTCATCACCTAAAACTTTGTCTTATAAATCCGTTAATTAGAGGGGGTTTATAAGAAATATTAACCATACATAGATGATACAAACATCAATATGAGTAAGAAAGATAAAAATATAAATTAAAAATAACTTAAATGCATTGCGAAACAAATTTTATAGGATCATCATGTACCCAACAATGGGCTTGCATTACTAAGTTTTCCCAAGGGTTTATTCCAACCATGTTAATCTTTTGAATATGAAAGGAAGATTAACCATATATAGAAGGCACACTAATATGAGTAAGAAACATAAAAATATAAGGTGAAAACACTTGAAATCCATTTTGAAACAAATCTTTTAGGATCATGTACCCAATAGTAGGCTTGCATTGTCATGGGTTACTCCCAGTGGTGGAGTCAGAAAACTAAATTAAAAGAGACTCTTCTTAATTATTTTAAATTTTTTTTATAACCAACAATAAGAAGATAATAATAATTTTTTAATTAATATTAAGTACAAAAACTTTAATAAATTATTATAAAAGCATTTCACATAAAATTTTAAAATTAATTTCGAGTAAAATCGAAAAGAAAGTATTGCGTGTAACTAGTGTATCATGGACAATGTAAAAATAGTCATATATTTAAGTCTTAAAATAAATTATATAAAGATAAATCAAATTTTTACAAAATTTGAGTAAAAATTTCATATAATAGTGATAATATGTTATTATTGATATATGATATCACCAACCAATAGTAAAACAATATAAGAATGGTGAACTCTACATGTAAATATAACTAATACTCTAATAATTTTTACATATACATAGTGAGATTAATTATATTTACATATCAATAATGATGGATATTACCTTTATATTGAGATTTTTTCATAAAATTTTCATATATAAAAATATAATTTGTTATAGGAATTTCATTTTCAATATAACAATCATTATTGTTTTCATAAATTTAAAAATACTCTTGACATTTTATTCTAAATATTATTTTTGTTTAAAATTTTATTTATATATATATTTAAAAAATAAAAATAAAATAAAATAAAATAAAAAATTCAGAAACACGTGCCTCCTAAGCGCCATGTGACTGCGCCACTGATTACTCCAACGATGTTAGTATTTTGAGCTTAACTTCCATGAATATCTAACTAAGAAGGTACTACAAAAGTGACCAATTGCAACATGTAAAAAATGTCACAATATGACCGATTTGCCTTCTTTCACCATCAAATAGCACATGCCATGATACAAAAGATTGATTAAGGACATATAACATCATCATTGTAGTCTCATTTGCCTCCTGTCAGTAAAAAACAAAAAAAAAAATATATATATATATATATAACATAATCATTTATAACCTCAAATTTCTCATTTGGCTTAAGTTGTAATGGTCTCGTTTGGGAACATACTTTTTGAATAATTTTTTAATTTTTTAATTAAAATATAATGTAAAAAAGTTAAATGCGGTCCTTTGCGAGGTTATGTTGAAGGTCCTTTGGCCCTTAATGAGTCCTCAGTGCAGGTGTGTGACTGTTGGGTGGCTAATAATTGGGACTTTTCCCGTATCTTCTTCATCCTTCCCTCCGAAATTCTTGCTTATATTAGAAGCACCTCTCCATCCTAGTTTAACTCTGGTAATGATATCCAGGTATGGAAGCATTCAACTGATGGAATTTTTCGTAGTAATTTTGCTTACCTCCTAGCTAAGGATTTTCATAGCTCCCCTCCCATTCCCGACTGGAGTTGGGTGTGGGCTATTCGTGCTAACCCTCGTATCCTCCATTTTGTTTGGCGTGTTCTCCATAAAAAGCTTAACACTATGACCTAGTTGTTCTATAGGCAAATTGTCGCAAATAACCTCTGTCCAGTCTGTAAATGCTTTCCCGAAACCATCAATCACGTTTTTAGAAGTGTCCCTCTGCCTCTTACTGTTGGTCTTCTATCGGCATCCCCTCGGAAGTCATCCCCTCCTTCTCCTTTGACCTTCATTCTTGGTTCAAGCTAAACTGTCAATCTCGTATTACCCACTCTTTTACTGTCAGTTGGGCCATCTTATTTCCTTTTGTCTGTTGGGCCATTTGGCTACACCGAAATTCTTTTTGCTTCCAAACCAATCAAACCCCTTTTAGGGCTCCAGTAGTACTTGCTAATGCTTTAGAGTGACAACACTTTACAAATTCAGGCCGAACCATTAGAACCTCTTTTAATCTCTCTATAGGTTGGAAACCCCCCTCCCATGGGACCTTTAAACTTAACATTGATGGTGCAGCTAAGAGTCCTCTTGGTTTAACCATTGGTGGTGGAGTTATTCATCCTACATGTTTAGCTACTGGAGGTGGTGTTATTCGTGACTGGATGGGCTGTTGGGTTGCTGGTTTTGCTCGTAACATAGGTGTAGCCTCGACTATGGAGGCAGGACTTTAGGCCCTGAGAGATGGCTTAAAGCTGGCTGTGGACTTGGGTTTATCTAGAATTTGTGTTAAGTCAGATGCCAAAGCAGTAATCAACCTTGTGTTGGAAGAACCTCATTCAGGTCATCACTTCGGTAACCTCATTTATGATTGCAGGTACCTCATGACGGAGCTGGGGATCGTGATGGTTGATCATATTTATTGAGAAGCCAACAAGTGTGCGGACATTCTAGCGAATCAAGGCAGTCTTGCCATTGAAGGATATTGTGACAACCTTCACCTCTGATTAGCGTTAAATTGTGATTAAGCATGATAAGTAATTGATTAAGATGAAATTCTAAATTGATTGCATGAGCATGTGATTTACTTGCATTTCTATCTGTTCATTATTGAATGATTTGTTCATGTTTTAATTTCGAATTGCGAATTGAAAGCCTTTCCGGCGACCAATTCCGAAATTGATTAGTGTTATATGCTAATTAGGATTTATATGATTTTATTGTAGGTTTAATTAAAATTTGATTTGGAATGTTTAAATTGGAACAAATAATGCTACATTAATTTAATATAGGTTAATTACATGTTTTGCCATTGAGTGGGCCATTTTCTAAAACATTGTTTGGGACTTAATTTATGCATTGTATAAATCATCTCATCCACCTCCAAGACCCAACCGAGAGAGAGAGAGAGAGAGAGAGTAGGAGAAAAATTGAGCTCAACAAGAGATTTGCTTGGGAATTTAGAGGAACCAAAGGAGAATTGCATTTTTGAGCTACCACATTTGGAATTCAAGACTTAAGGTAGGAAATTCATTCCCTCAATTATGAGTTTAAGTTGTTTCATGCTTGGTTTATGGAAGAATTGGTGATTTGAGTCAAGAATTAGCTTAATGTGTTAATTTAAGAGTCCATTCATACATGTATGTCCACATTATGGAGATTAGAAGTTGTTTTGCATAAAATTCTTCCATGCATGTCTAGATTATATTTGTAATTTAAGAATTCATCATGTTTTTGGAGTGAATAACTCATTTGATCATGTGTTAGAAGCTTTGAATTCAAAGGAACACATGCATGGCATATATACATCATGTTCTTGATTTTTGGGTTGAAATTGTGTTCAATTGTCACACTTTTGGGTTTTGATTTTATGAAATGATCTTCAAAACATGTTGTATTATGAGTTTCTAAGTGTTTTCCAGAAAATTGGCCCAAAAGCATGAGTTTTGACATGTTTGATTCTTGGTTTGAGCTTGGTGATCAAATCTGGAAATTTCAGATTTTGGATCCACGCTCGAGCGGAGGACTTCACGCTCGAGCGTACACTCTGAGTACATGCACTTCCGCTCGTGCGTAGAGAGTCACGCTCGAGCGTGAAATGCATATGCCCAGAAGTTCATGTGTTTTGCAGTCCGCTTGAGCGAGGTGATCCGCGCTCAAGCGAGGGTCTGAGTCTCACGCTCGATCGTGGGTTAAGCGTCCATCGAGCGTGAGAAACGTGCAACCAGTACTTTTTCTTGAGTTTGCAGTCCGCTCGAGCGAGGGAAGTCACGCTCAAGCGGAGCTTCTTTGTCTGCATGCCCGCTTGAGCGGAGAAAGCCACGCTCGAGCGAGACCGCTGTTTTTAGCAAATTTTGAAAAGTGTTTTAAAGTGCAATT